TAACCAAAGAACAGGTTGAGCAGCAGCAACGGGAAGAGTATAAGCTCCTTCCCGGTATCCTCAATTACCATATACGGCGAGTCCATTTATCCGTAGAAATAGACGAGAGCCGCGCCAAAGACTGGAAGAAGTATGAGGATTTTCAAGCTGCAATACCCATTAAGGGGCAAGATCTTGCTTACAAAGGGACATATTGCGCTCCCCATGAAATGGGTAGATACAATCGAAAACATACATGAGCAATATAAGCCGGATTTCGAACCAGAATTCAAATCCAGGCTCGTTGGATGTGGCATTTTGAGGATGCCACTGGGACTGGGGTAAGGACTGACGCGCCCGCGTCAGATCTGGAAACCCAATAGCCGCCTTTGCCGTAGCTGAAGGGGTTCCCTCAGAGTTCGGATATAAGGAGCGCGTACGGCTAGCGGAGCTTGCGTAGTGAAATCTTGTTCATACCGGGCGACTGCGCTTGCGCGAAGCGTATTGCGTTTAGAGGCGGAAGCTGCGATTGCTTGATTTTCCTTGCCTTTTCGAATCGTGATTTTTCGGCGTGATGTTTTTCCATGGCCTTCATTTTCATGCTGGTTGCGCATGGGAATTATTTGGGCATGTGATGTTGATTGCTCAAGCGTGGTTGATGTACCACTGAGAAACTTTTTTACCCACCCACCCACCCCACAAGGTGGTTTTTCACAAATGCCCATTTGGTTTTTGTATAGGTCGCTGATTTGGGGGGGATTTCAAAGGTTAGTTCGTGATGGCTGTGCTCGCCATCCGGGTTGGTGAGCCCGAAAGAACCCTCCAAATCCTGCGCGTCGGATTCTGCCCCCGTGTCGGGAGAAAAAGATGAGCGTTATGCATCTGTGATTGGATTATTACACACTTCCCTGATTCGCATATTGAGTTTGAGTGATTGAGTGAGTTTTGTTTTTGAATGAACACTTTTCCCTCCCATTTGGGAGACCCAGACTCCAAGGGTCCAGTCGCCACCAACCCCAACCCATCCTCATCACACCATCCACCAGCGACACATGGGGCAACTTCCAGTGGCCAGATATCCTCCACTGGTATGCATGCCAATGTGCATGCAGCATGACATACTGCCAACTCTCCAACCTGGAGAGGTGCAGAACATGCCCAGCATGTTCCATGGAGATTTCCGCTACTCTGCTCTGAGCTGAACGCAAAACGGTATGACAAAATCCAAAGCGTTGCCTATAGATTGCATAGTTATCATGCGACAGCCTAGCGGCGGACTTCCAGGGGTAGACCCGGAAGCATACTTCCTGATCAGAGTACCAGTGTACGGACTCTTTGACTCCGGCCGTGGATTCTGGAAGAAGGTGAACCACGACGCGTTAGATGTAGGCCTTTGTGCTAGCCGCACCTTCCCTGCCTTTTACTACCACCAAAGTAATTGGCGTAGATCTCGTCTTGGCTACTCATGTGGACGATTTCTTGTGGGCCTGTACCGATACCGGACAGGTGGTGATGGATAAGCTCCTTAGCCGATTCGAGGTAGGGAAGTGAGAAATAGGAAGGCTCCGTTTCTGCGGAAAACAATTCAGCCTAGACGGCAAGGATGTATTGATCGACGTGACCGACAATACGACTAAAACGATTTATATCGACATCGCCAAGACTCGGAAACAGTCGGAGCAAGTGACCGCGGGAGAAGAGCCACAGCTGCGCTCTGTGGTTGGATCACTGTCGTGCATTTCACGCCAAGCTCGTCCAGACATACTTTACAGGGTGTCTGGCTTGCAGAGCAGCATCAAGGGAGCGAAGGTTTCCACGCTCACCGATGCAAACAAGGTACTTAAGATGGCCTTGGACACCAAGGACCTGAAGATCAGGTACCGCCATTCTGGTAACCTAGACTTCATGAAGCTAGGTGTCTTGACAGCTTCGGACGCCAGTTTTGCCGGAGAAACTCAGCGTAAGTCCCAGCAGGGACGCATACACTTTCTGTGCCCTGCGGAACCATTGACCGATCAGAACAATTGTCTGTTTGATGTGGCCCTCGTGTCATACAGCAGTACCACGATTAAAAGGGTATGTAGGGCAACCCTCCAAAACTTATGCCCTGCAAATTGCCCAAGAGGCCGGCGACAAGATTCGCGCCGCACATTCTGAAATGTATGGGTACCTATCATCGGGCCCAGAGTGGTACGAGTCTGCAAGGAAGCATGTTCCTCACGTCATGCTATCCGATTGCCGTAGCCTGGTTGACCACCTAAATGTAGAGGTCCCAGCACGGGTGCAAGACAAACGCTTGCAAATAGAGCTCAACGCCCTGAGACAGGCTATATTCCTTGATGATGGAACAAGGACCGTGAATCATTACCCAGCCGGGGGTGATCGTGTCGATTGGTGTGACACGCATACGCAAACCCCCGATTGCTTCACAAAGGCGATGAAACCAGACTTTCTGCTCAAAGTCCTTTTCCACTTGTTCCTATGAAATCTCAAGGGCCAAATTGTGAGCACACCCGGGTGTATGACCTAGCTATGGCATACAACGCAGCATATTTAATGTAATGTACAAAGTGTACATATTGGGCCGGAATACCAGCGCCCAAGATGCACTGGCTTGTTTTGCTCGAAGAAGATAGCAAGTCTGCATCTTCTATCACTTAGCTTGTATAGTTCTGTAGGCATGTAGCCCAAACTGACTAGAGAACAGGTTGAGTGTGAATCTCACCATGTTGTCAGTCATGTCTACCTAGATCAGCTTGTGTACAGTTGAACTGGATTCCCGCAGGCGCCTTGAGTCAAGCCCAAAAGGTTTCGCAATCTTTTTGTAATTATCTTATTATTACCGATAGTAGCTTTTGCGGGGCCATGGATGGTTCCTCGTGCCGCGTAAAAAGCATGGGAGTTCCTAGGAGCCGCACTTTGCAGAGACACTGGCTTACAGAATGGCACGCGGGATCAACAGTCAGGAAAGGGATTTGTGTGGCAATCAGCCGTTAACCTGCCGTCCTGTCTACTGCAACTGCGCTTCAAGCATTGCAGCCTGACCATGTCGTTGTTATGATTGCGCAAAGTTTGAACGACCTAGTTGTGTCGACTGAGGGAGATTCCATAGTTGCGGTCCAAAAAAGCCATGTCACAGTCACCATTTGCCGCATTAGCAGAATCCAGCGTTGGCAAAAACCCTTGTTTTGCTACATTGGACAGTAAAATTGCAGCAAACAAGCAGATTGCTTGGCACACCTCAGCACCCATGATTGAGCTTGGCCGCGTAGCTTGATGTTCCTTTCACATAGCGCGTCTCGGCATGTACCGGTCGCGTAGCAGAGAGTATGTTGGAAACGGAGGACGCCTGATCGAGTGTTGCATCTTGGCTTCCTGAGGCTTCTGGAAGCGTTGTTCTTGCTTTCCTGGTGAGGACGTTCGCGGCCTCGACTGCGGAGAAGGCCCCCATCCACATCACCTTTCTGCAACAGGCCGCATGTGTATTCTGTGCACAAACAGTTCTGGTGAACGCTTTCGTCAAGGTCTCCACCCAGGAGGCGGAAGCGGCGAGGTTATGGGCAGGTGGGCATTTCTGCAATGGCGATGTTGGTTTCAAGAGCTTGTGCTGGCACGCCACTCATGCACAGGGATCATAGACACATATAGTGGTTACCAGCAGTCTTGCAAAAGTGGATCGGCCGTGGTTGTTGCAATTCTGAAGCCAGTTGCGTCCGCATTCGTCATTTTCGAAGTCAGGAATGGAGTTGTTTTTTGTGTTTGACGACTTTGCAGGGGCGCCATCGGCGTGATGCCTTCCGAGATGACAGCTTCGACTCCCAGGTCAGCCACCGCCGCCGCATCACCAGAACATTAATCCCATAGTGCATAATCGCCACGTGCACTGCAGGGTTGCTTTGGAAATGCCAGCCTTGCTCTTGTTGACATTCATCATAATCTAACTGGTTTTCTTGTGAACGCTTGATGCATGCGCACTTCAACTGTCTGTCCAGGTCGATTTCGACAGCCGGTCCAGGCCAAGGGTACTCTTATCACTTCTGCAGCCTGTGAGAACTGCTCAACAGACGCTTGTTCCTTTGTGGCAGGTCGCCGCCAAACACTGGTGTGAATGTGACAATCTCAGGGCTTTGGAGAGGCTGACGCTTTCGCGCCAGTGTTGCAGCCTGCGGCCCAAGGCCATACCGCTCGGACGCCGACAGGATTCTGAGGACTTCGAGGGAAGATGACACTTGTAGATCCAAGCCCTGTGACATCTTGTTCTGCAGGAAGAGACGGAGGCACTCTGTTTCGCATCTCAGTTGCTCGTATCACACACACATGACGCGCAAGGCGAGGGTATGGATCCTCCACAGCGACGCAGCCAAAGTTATCGGACGGGGTGGCCGCGCGCTACGGGAGATCGAAAACAGGACCGAGATTCTGAATCCGGCTTAAATGCGGAGGCTTGCAGGTGAGTAGTAAGCAGAGAAGCCTGATGGCATGGGCAGGCGTAGAGAGGTTACACGCTTGTCACGCTTCTCGCTTTCCTGGATTCGGGGCATGATGTAGAAACATCAACGTGTATATTCAAATGCATTTTTATGCATGTATTCAGTTGTTCATACCTTCCCAAAGCAAGCCCCAAGCAATGTCTGCAAAGCCGCAGGACTCGCACCCGGATAAAGGTGTCGAAAGAGGAGGACATGAACGAAGCCAAGGCCGGGAAGACAGAACTTTTCTTCCAATGAAGTTGCCCTATAATGGATGCCTCAACACTCGTGACATAGTTGTAGTAGAATGGTAAAGCCCAAACCTCTTTCCTCTCAGGGGGTCTGCGTCCTGTCAATTTTGGACAGGAGCGATCCGTTGACATCCTCGGCGGGCGCCGTGGCCAAGACCTGGCCAGGGTCAGAGCAAACAGCCGCGAACTCTCACGGAAGTCCTGAAGTGCTGTGAGTTTTTGCTGAGGCTGTAGACCAGATCCTGGATGTGGTGCTTTACTGTTTGAGTCCAAGATCAACTCAGGTTCACAACTGGGTGTTTGGGAAAGTAGCTCTGCTGAGGCCGCCAAGACGGCGGCCGCGTTCTGAAGGCTGTGGCACACAGTGTGCTGTGTGTTGAGGTGCGGGTCCGGGTCCTTCGTTCTTGTTCTAAAGCCACCAGGATGCCAGAAGTCTTGGAGCCCCTCGGGAAAACGAGGAGACATCGGTTACTGCAATCAAGAATATCAACATAAACTTCATTGACCTCATGGGACGCAGGGCTCCAAGGGCAGCCACCGCGTCCTCACGGCCTGGACCTTTGGTGTGCATGTTGTTTTGCGAGCACCTTTCATCCTGGCATGTCAGGTGCTTCCAGAAGAAGTCGGGAAAGTTCTTGGCAGGTGCTCAGTCAGATCATCTCGGATAGTTCCATTGTCATGATCCCGCACAAGCTCACGCTATCTTGCAACCCCTCACAATTTGAACAGGAAGGGGGAAACTGTCCGAGTCATCGAGAAGGCCTCCACCCGAAAAAAAGCTTAGAAGGGCTGTCTTTTCCATAACATGCAGGACTCGGGGGCCAAAGTGGAGCTGGACAAGGAACCGACACTTGGGGCACTTCGGCAGCTTGATCCGGGTGTGGTGACCTGCAGTGAGGCTCAGGGGAAGGTGGAAATCTTCGGAAGCACCCAGGAGCAGGACTGCGCCGTTCTGAAAATCATCCTGATTTTTTGATGAACCTTTTGGTGCCTCTGTGACGCATTAGGAGAAAGCCGTGGAGCTGTTGTTGGCCGAAGTCCACTGGGCGAAAGCCGAGGATGGCACTGCGGCGGGCACAGATTTTTCTTCGGAAAACAGGACCAGAGTAATAGCCACAATAGCAAAGTAAGAATAGTAAGAGTAGTAACATACTAAGAGCCAAACTCTTCTGTGCATGTTGTGACTGAGGTCCTTAAGGACGAGCCCAGGCCAAGGCAACGGGCTGAGGGCGAGGAGCTCCCCCCGCCACTTCAGCCGGGAACTTGAGATGCCAAGCAAGCTACACATTTGCTTCGCTCCTTGCTTGGTGCAACTTCCTAAAGCCCCTGAAGCCCCTTATGCCTAAATCCTTTACTTGCCAAGGCTCTGGGTGAAGGATCGCGAAGCTGGAAGAGCCGGGAACCATAGCATAAGAGCTGGCGCAAGCTGGATGTTGAAGAAGCTCGTAATGCAAGGTGATCGGTCGTGGCGGTGAAACCGTTCGCGAGGTCAATGCCAACTTTTCTTCACTTTTTCGAATAGCGGTGGGTCTTATCTAAGCAGGTGATGGAGAAATCCGGTGCAGACATCAAGGCGCCCGATTTTGGCAAAGCTGCAAGAGCAGAGTGCTTTGTTACTAGCTTTAAGGTCCAAAAGTCGGATGAGATGCTGGCCGCCGGAAGCAAAGAGCGCGAAATCAAGATCATCGGCAGCAAGGAGCGTTCCTTCTTTTCATTGCCCGCCTCTCCTCCAGCATGGGGTCAGCGATCAGTTGCGGTCATTGCGAGCAGGATCAGCAGGACGAGGCTCGGGTGACGTGCTTTCGAGTGCGGTCTGCCGCAGCTCTGGTCAAACACTTTGATTCAGGCGTTGCAGCTGATTTTGCACGAAGTCTCCTGGGCTAAAGGTTCCCGGCTGTACTGTCTCTTTGCATGGCAGTTTTTGGGCAATTGTGCACAGGAGTCCAAGGCCTCCTCAAAGGTGTCGAGGACCTCCATGTTATGCTACGCCATGCAAAAGATAGTGATCCTCCTTCTCCGCCTCCTGCTTGTCATGATAGCCGCCTCAACTGCTGTATCTGCTGTGCTGCTGACAGCGCAGGATGCCCAAGCCGCCGAAGCCAAGGCAAAGGCGGCAACAAGCGATGACACCAAGGCGTCAAGGGGTTGGCTGTCCGTAGAGGAAAACAGAACCACTAGAAGAAGCAGCAGCAAAGGTGTTGGTCAAAAGCAGCCAGGACCTGATAGAAAATGGGAGATGACAATCCCAATCGTGGAATCTCATAAACCACATTTCAAAACTCTTGTAGAAGTCGCAGCAGGAAGTTGACAATCCCCTTATACTCCCCTTCCGGCATTGAAAGCCTTCAGCGGGTTTTGGAGGCCGAGAATGCTGGGAAGGACGAGAAGCATGCGGAGCCGAAGGAAGACAAGGCTCCCGCTGCCAAGGCCTGTACTGCACGGGTCGATTGCAGGGATAGCCGATGCTGGAAAGTTGCAGAAGAACTCAAAAGCACCTACCACGCACGCTTGCTCTCGTCCCCAAGAACAAGCCTCCCAGTCTTCTGGTCAGAAACGATTGAAGGATTGCAAGAGCTCACAAAGCAGTGACTTGTGTCTGTGTGCTCTGCAAGTCTCCCTATTTCTTTCACTTGCTGTTTCCTCACCAGGTCAAGCCCCGGCGATTTCGGGAGACGGCCCGGGAGCTGAACAGGACTCCACAAATTGCCTCGGTTCGGTCACGGTGACTTGTCTTAAAGATTTTTGTTGAAAGGCCCAAAAGCGGCCCCGCGAGATGGGCACGGCACCCGGGGCGCCCGGCACGCCCGGCTTCGCTCCGCAGCTTTGCTTGGCCTTCGCCACCTGAGGTCTGTGCCACGTGCGGTGGCGATCACCGCACCAAGGCCGCGCTTGCCGGGATGCCTGATGCAATCCGGCAGTCTTCACCTTTCCAACTTGTTTTCTTTGCAAAGCCCAGAGAGCGTCCGGGTCGACCCACATGCGCTGTCGTCTGGCAGGAGTGCCCTCACGCCACAGGAATCTTGGGCGTGGGTGTGCAGTTAGGGATGCAGATGGGCTTGCAGGCGAACTGGAAGAAATGGGACCAGGTGCAGTTTTGAAGATGACCAATGCTTTTGGAGGCCATGGGCCTACCCACCACACCGTCAGCGCCACCAGCACCGTTCGGGCCACCTGGGATGCCAATGCCACCCGGAATGCCTGGGGTACCAGGAATGCCCGGCATGCCTGGAATGCCTGGCATGCCGCCCATGGGTGTGCGACTCGGGGAAGGCCTTATGAAGAACTATAGGGCAACGACACTGCTTGAATCTCAGGTCCCGGCATGATGCCGATGGGAGGCAGGCGAGCCAGTCATCCCAGCAATGCTGAAAGGGGACTTGGAAAGGCCCACCCGGGATGCCGATGCCTGGCATGCCGCTCCTGCCACCGGCCAGGAACTCAGAGTTGGAGAGCAGAGAGTACATGAACAAGAAACAAAATCCTATAATTCGTCGGGGGCCATGACAGCCTCTGTAAGTTCCCAACGGCTGTCACTGCTGCAGGGCATGCGGCCCCCTGGCTTCCGCGAGTGCAGCTCCCAAACCTCGTGAAACTTTTTTGAGCAGTCTGCTGTGTTTATGCAGGTCTCGAAGCGAAAGCTCCTCGTCCAGCTCCGGCAGTCCAGGCTATGTGTCTGAGCTTCCGTCATAAGGATTGGGCGATAGACAAAGCTTTTTAAGCACTGTTAGTGCAACTCTACAAAGCAGTCAGTGCAAGCAGAGCTGCTTTCTTTAAGTGGGTTTTTGGTCCAGTCCTGGCAGGCAGTGAGGAGGATGTGCCAGAAAGCAGCTTGGCAAATTGTGGAGGGTGCTGTGTGTCTATTGCTGTTGCAGGATGTTGCAAGTATTCAGTAGCGTTTAGAAGGCAATGGCTTTTTGCTGAGCTGTGTCTGCTGAGCCCGAGGATCTCCAGCAAAAGCTTTGATGGAGAAGCATGGTGCTCAGAGTTCTTCAGTTCCATCATCCTGAAACACACAGAAGCCTAGAATCCGGCAGGGCTTCCCTTCCCTTACGCATCAAACCCGGAACCCTCAGCCTCAAATGCCCTCAGCTCCCAAGCTTGAAGCTCTGAACGCTAAAATGCTGACCCTTGTGCAATCCCAGCCCAAATACTAAACCCACATCAAGCCCTGGAGCCCTGAGAAGAAGCGCTTCCGATCAGGCCCCGCCGACGCGTCAAGAAGCGGAGAGTGCCGGTCCCTGCTGCTGCGGAGAACGGCCACTCGGAAGCAGCCCTCTGAAGCCTTGGGAGTGGCTTTCCAAGAGTTATGTCAGGGCCCGTAGGTGCTGTGGACTTGTTGAATCCTGTTGATGCCTGCCTGTCTTTTGGGTTTCTGAGAAAGATTTTTTGGTGCGCATTCCTAGAAATGCCCATACAACGGGGTCACATGGTTCTACTGGCAGTGTTTGTTGCGGTTCATCACCGTTGCTATGTGATTTTCCCCATTTCCAAGTGTTCAAGAAGAGTTTTACCTCTTGCAACCCTTGTTTTTTTTTGTGCTGTTTGGTCTTT